ATTTATTAAACTGTATAGTGTCCTATGGTGTCTTAAAATGTGCCCTTAAAGGTCACCTATTATGCAAAATCCACTTTTTCATATATTTAATACATCAACATGTTTCCCCTCTGTGTAAAGAGATCCTGAAGGTTTCAGGAACAAAGATTCTCTCTCTCTTTGTCCTGATCCATTTATATAAAAACCTGTCTGAAAATGAGCTGATCAGATTTTGGCCACTTTATGATGTCATAACGATTTTTTGTCTTGTGTAGCCATTAGCCAATCAGCAACCAAGGTAACCCCCCCCCCCCTTATCACCTGAATCTCCTCCTAGAGCACCATTGTGTTCTTTTTAACCAAATCTCTCTCAGAGGGGCGTGGGGAGGGGCTCCTTATTTTCATCTAAAGTAACAGACAGAGAATCAGCACTTTTGAAACAGGGCTGAAACAGAGGGGATTATGGGTAATGCTGCAATGATCTGTTTGGTGTTTGGAGCCAAACAGAGACATGTTCTGGATATATCTGAGACCTGTAACATATTGATGAAAAACAGTATAATACGGGACCTTGAATGTGTTTTATTAATGTATTGTAGGTGTCAGCTCTGTGCTGTGCTGGTGGAGAACAGAACCTGATCATGCTGGATCGGAGCGTCCATAAACCCAGCGTGGCCGGCACCGTGGGCTGGGCCGGGTCCACCTTCGGACCGCTGACCAAGACCCGCATCGGGGAACACGAGTTCGAGGCCCTCATGAGAACCATGGATAACCTGGTAGGCTGAACTCAAATAAACATACTGTAATATGTGTAAAGTGGAGATTAATACATATATTATACATTAAAAAAAGGTTCCTTTCTTTTCACATGTAGTTCAGTTAAATACAAATAGAAATAAATATATTTAATGGTGTAAAAATATAGGACTGTAAAACAATAAAAGACAATTCAAGCTTTAACATGAGCAAGGTGAAAACAATTATTAACGTGTAATAAAATAGATTTAAAGGCTGTAATACCATTAATGTGGTAAAAACTATAAACGTTAATAAGTGATTGATGAAATATTAATAAAATACAATAACATGTTACAACCTTTCTACAGTAAAATAAGGTAATAAAACAAAGTTACCTCTTGTACCTTGCTGTGTGGGAGGTTTGCTGATTCACCCTGCAGCTCTTTCTCTCCGCAGCCCAGTGCGTCTCCTACCACTCCTCTACTGCACCATAAAGACTGTTTCACTGACAAAGTATCCTTCTGCGTAGACCAAGTTTCATTTAACATTAGCAGCTAAATATCCCTAGGTCTTTTTATATAGAGTTTCCTGTTTTTACTGTAAATGAGCATTACATCTTTCTGCCTTGAGAACATTGGTCTGATTCTCTCGGGTAATATTCTTCTATTCAACCAAAAAATATTACTCTTTTATTATCAATTAATTATATTTATAAGATGGAATAGGTCCAGTGCTGTTACCTTGAACGTTTCACAAAGCCCACTGCGTTTTAAAGCAGATCAAAATGCTGCGCCACAGCGGATAGGTATTCCATCTGATATCAAAATAAACATTTATAAACCCTTATCTTAGCAAAATGAAGCCTGCTGTCCTGCTACAGAGCAACAATGAGGTGGCCACCCTAACTATGACAGGCAGAAATATAATGACTAGACCAGGGGTTCCCAACCTTTTTCCCCGAGAGCCCCCCCAAATGACTCCTGTTGGAAGTTGCGCCCCCCCACACACACACACACACAATGGGGG